CCTGCGGGTATCATGCGAAGCCTGACGGGCCGAATTCTATGGAGTATTCTCGTGATGCACAAACAGAATTCTTCACAGGATTCAAGGGTCAGGACGAGTTTCTACATTGCAAGAGCAGCAGCAAGAAGTGGTCAGCCCTAGGTGTGCTCAGCCAGTCGGAGCCAGAGTCCGACACATGTTCAGTCACAAGCTCCGACCCGAGCTCTGATTCGTCTGAAGTGGGGCGCACTGCTGAAAGGTTTGCTGGAGACCTGTATCATGATGATTGGAGCGGTCTCGATCTTTTTCAGCACGACCAAAGGGGCACTCTCCACAGTTGCAAGAGAAGTCTTGTAGCTGACGAGGACGGGGAAGAGAGAGTTCTCAAGCGTGGCCGTGCCGTTTCATCTGCTTTTAGATTCATGGAGCACGAAGGTGTGCCGAAGTATTGGCCAAACAAGTGCCGGCAATGCTTCAACTGAATGAGCAACGTGCGCGCCGCGAGAGCGCCGCGCGCGTCCGGTGAACCCTCTTCTTGGTAACCCTTCTCCCTCTTTTGTCTTTGCGGGGTTTTGTTTCGGGGCTGGCTTGAACACGGACTCAACGTTGCTCGGATCTGCCGTCGCCTGGTGCCAGGAACTGATTCAAGGGCCCCAGTTTCGTGCTCCTTTTCCTCTTTGGGGGAGAGGGTCTTGTGTCGAAGTTGCGAGTTCCAACGTGCATCTTTCGGTCCGCAGCACGCTTGCATTATTTCTTCGGTAGCTGCCATGTCTCTGGTTATTCAGTGCCAGTTTTCAAGAGCGAAGCCAGTTTTCAAGAGCAGGGCTGCACGACCCGTGTGTGACTGCGCTTGAGCAGAAGGGATGGAACACGCACGCCACTTTCGCCTTTGCGCGCTCCTTCATTCCGGGGCAAACAGATGACAAGGTTCTCACGGACGCGGTCGTGGCACCCGCCGCGAAACTCAGGCGATTGCACTTCGAGAGCTACGCACTCACAGCCGCGGATTTGAAAAGGAAGGTTGAGGCAACGGAGAGGCAACCTCTGCAAAAGCTTCCCACTGTTGAGCTTTCAGATAGGATTGAAACGCTGCAAGCAACTGTCAAGATCACGCGCATCGCTGCCGATACTTTGTCCGCAAATCATCGGCTGCGCAAAAATGCACGGGTGACATTCTGCACCAACCTTGATGGAACCTCAACCTTGGACAAGTATCGTGAAGCGAGATTGCCGAACCCTACACTGATTGGGGCATCCAGCAACTTTCTGCCCACCTCTGGCTCGAACCTCGGGCCCGAGCGGCGATCGGGCCCCAAGGTGAGCCTCAGGCCCTAGGCGTGAAACCTTGGCCCCGACGGGCCCGGAAGTGGCAAGACCATCAGGTGGCTTGAGGTGTAGAATTGAGAGGCTCTCTGGTGCGGAATTGAAAGGGCAAAATCTGAAGTGTTTTTGCTTGCTCCATTTGTGTTGTCTAAAAGGAGAATGTTCGGAAAGCCGTTCCCTGCTGAACTAACATGCTTCATGTATCGAAAGACAACTTGCGCTACACAGAACCTGAAGCATGGCACTGTTGGCGCATGGTCCTGCTCATTTAACCCGGTATACAAAGCAAAACCTTGGAACTCCTTGCTGGACTGGACTGTGACTTGCGACAGGCTGCAGAAGAACTGCATGCACTCCAACAGCATGCGAGAACTGCACAAGAAACACACTCCAACAGCACCTGCACCTGCACCTGCACCCCAAACTGCATGCCTTGTAGCACCCGGCCATGCAAAAATGTGCCCACTCCGTGACCAGCAGCACCCCAAACTGCCCCTAGCACCCGGCCGTCAATCTTGCAAAAATGCGCCCACTTCAAACAGCAACTGCACCAGCACCCCAAGCTGCATGCCACCAATCACAGCACCCGGCCGTCAATCTTGCAAAAATGCGCCCGCACCGTCACCAGCACCTCAAACAGCACCTGCGCAAGCAACCGAAACAGCACCTCCCAAGCAATCTCGCAAAAATGCGCCCACCGTCACCAGCACCTGAAACAGCACCTGCGCCAGCCACCCAATCTCGCAAAGAAGCGCTCCAACAGCACCTCCGCCAGCACCCCAAACTGCATGCCCCCTAGCACCCGGCCATCAGTCTCGCAATAATGCGCCCACACCGTCACCAGCACCTCAAGCAGCACTTGCACCAGCCGTCGATCTCGCAAAAATGCGCCCCCACCCTCAAACAGCACCTGCACCAGCACCCCAAACTGCATGCCCCCTAGCACCCTGCCGTCAATCTCGCATATCACGTTCCCTTCTATAGCTTTCAGCCATCTAGGGAATAAATTCAATGGCAACTTGATTTCATTGAGCAAGGATGTTGTCTGAATTTAGACAAGCTTTGACAATTGTTAAGCAGTTCCACAGGTAAACGGTGAAACACGCAACGCTTGCTGCCACGGTTCTTCCTCGTGGCAGACCACCACTGCCGGGCTGTTTGCTGCGAAAAGCATGGCAGCGAAACGGGCGGGCGCCAGATAAAGATTGGAGCAAGATAGGCTGCAGCGGCCAAAATGGGCTGGGCGTCACTCTGCGTAAGGTTGTGGAGGGCACAAACAATTAAAGGGCGCAATGAAGTTGTATGAACCACGCTCTGACCAACTATGTCTTGCAGAAGGTATTGAGAAGAGCGCTGATTAGATATGTCCCCGAGGGACAAAGCCATACAATGACAAAGACCCTGTCCACTCCGGTTCCAGCAGAAAAGGAACTAACAACAGCTCTTATCAAACATCCTGTCAGAAGCAAAGGACCTCAGAAGATAGTGTACGCATATTGTACGCCATGTTCAAACAACACAATCTAACCAACTGAGGCCAGAAAGGACTCAGCAATAACACATTCATCCTGTTTTTGCCCCCACAGGCAGATATGAAAAGACCTTATGATACATATGCCCAAAAGCAGAGAGAAACAACAAATCCGGAAGGAAGGAACTGGCAATCTAAATTAACTATGATCTACCCGAGCTCTGGCCAATGATCAACTATGGGCCATGGCCGGTTAAGGCAAACACACAGCTCTGCTCAAGCGTGTCCTGGACAGTGCAAACAGGCTATCGTTGTTCATTCAAGTCCCCGCAAAAGCTTTGTTTAAACTATGTTCTACAAAAATAAACAAAGTCAGAAATACCGATCTGGGCTTCCGGAAGGAAAGGAGACAAAAGAACAGTGGTCAACGTTGTCCTCCAAAGGCTAGCAAATGCAGACCCCTAAATCCCTTACTACTACTGCTCTCCTACTACTATTACTGCCACGACTAGTTTTAATAGTAGTACTGATACTAGCACACTACATTACTACTATTACTGCTACTCCTACCACTAATACTAACTTATTTTCTTATACAAATGCTAATACTGAACTACTACTACTACTACTACTACTACTACTACTACTACTGCTGCTGCTACTACTACTACTACTACAACTACTCCTGCTACTACTACTACTGCTCCTAACAACTACCAACACCACCACCACCACCACTACTACTACTACTACTACTACTACTACTACTACTACTCTTACTACTAGTACTAGTCCTGCTACACCGCTACTACTACTACTACTACTACTTGTAGCATTACTACTACTTCTACCACCACTACTATTGCTACTAATAATACTATTCCTAGTTTTGCTACTACTACTACTAATACTAATACTACTACTACTACTACTACTACTACTACTACTACTACTACTACTACTACTACTACTACAGTGTTTAACTACTCGCACTAAAACTGGCACAACTACTACTACGACTACAGGCATATGACAAAGTCGTGCCTCCGGAGTAGGCGTTGTTAGATTTAGGTGCGGGGAAGCATGTCGAAGAAGTCGTGCCTTTCCGGGAAACGCATAGGAACTCTGATGGTGCACTGTGAGTGCTGCGTTTTGCTGTGTGATCAGTTGGGCTTGCGTTTACAGTGGGTTTTGCCAGTTCCAGACCTGGGCCCAGGAGGTCCTGAAAGCAGATGTATGTTGCGTTTACATGGGGGTTCGGATTCCCGTGTTTATGCAATTCTTACCTTGGGTCGCCACCTTTCCATGTCCGGCGCTTCTGTGTGAGAATATGTTGCTAAGATACGAAGGAATGCCGAACGCATACGAACTCTGATGGTGCACTGTGAGGGCTGCATTTTGCTGTGTGATCAGTTGGGCTTGCGTTTACAGTGGGGTTTGCCAGTTCCAGACCTGGGCCCAGTAGGTCCTGAAAGCAGATGTGTGTTGCGTTTACATTGGGGTTCGGATTCCTGTGTTTATGCAGTTTGTTTCATTGGGTCGCCACCTTTCCATGTCCGGCGCTTCTATGTGAGAATATGTTGCCAAGATACAATGGAATGCCAGCATTTTTGGTGGGCGGGCTTCCCTGCTTTGATTGGTAGATCTCACAGCAACCTGCTGTTTGCAGCGTGACAGACTTTGTTTTGCGATCTTCTGGGGTTTTGTGGACGGCTCTGTGTTTTTGATACTCGTTCGATGGCCTGGAGCCATTTGGGGTCTTGGATTGCTCTGAGCCATTTGGGCCGAGAGCAATGGCAGCAGAGACGCCGACAAGGAAGCGATGTCGGGAGGAGTGCGCCAGCACACCTTCACCTGTACCGCAGGTGCCTTGCGAGAAGCAGCCGGCGCAGTGTTAAGTGCAGGATTTTTTGAGGAGTACGCTTTTAACCTTTTCCTTTTTGAACCCTTTTCAAGAGAACGAAGCTTACGCGGGTTTTGGGCTTCAAAGGCAGCTTCACCTTAAGAGCTTTGTTTGAAACAGACTGGTAACGGACCCTGCCGCAACTGCAGTTTGAAGGGACGTAGAAGTAAACTTACAATGGTAAACTCCCGTAGCTAGTGTTGGGGTAAGGGTTTGGCCGATGGAGCTCGGCCTCGGCAGCGTGAGGGCTGCGCGGTGTTGACGGGATTTCAACTTTTGTTTGTTTGGTGGGGGCTGCTGTAGCTTCTGCTGTCGCTGGCGGTTATGGTTGTGTTGGCGGTGGTGGTGGTGGTGCTGGTGGTGGTGGTCCGGGAGGTGACCGCCACAGGGGAGTTGTACTTTGTGACTGCCGAGGTCCTTCAGCGACGTCAGCCCGACCCAGCAGAAGCTCCTGAGCCTTGGCCTAGGGTTTGCTTTTGCTTTGCTCGGCTGTTTTTTTGTGTTTTGCTGCGACTGTTGTGTTTCGCCTTGTTTCCCAGGTGGTTTTTACTCTCTTGTGTGCTGTTGCTGTTGCTGTGGTTGTTGTTGCTGTGGTTGGGGTGGTTTTGCCTAGCTGTTTGCTGACTGCTTACTGTTTGCAGTTGCTGTTGCGCGCCTTGCTTTTTGACGGTTGAATCGTGTTTGTTGGCGCTGTTGTGGTTTGCTTTGCTTTCGGTCGTAAGGGGTGGTGGTGGTGGTAGTGGTGGTGGTGGTGGTGATGGTGGTGATGGTGGTGATGGTGGCGCTGGGTTGCCTAGGGTGTTTTAATGTTTGGGGTTTGCAGAGATGGGGGTTAATGCAAGGGTCTTGGGGCGCGGCCTCCAGGAGAGCGCAACATGAGCCAAGTGATTTTGCAGGACTGAACGGTGTCATCCACAGGACATATTTCCATCCCAATCCAAGGTTGGCAATCCAACCGCCTTTGCGCGGGCACTTCGGGAAGAGCACAGCAACATCTTTGAGCTGTTGCGCAAGGCTGACCTACCGTCAGGGAACAGGCACACTCCAAAGGGTCAGCCTGTTCCCGAGAGTTCTGAATGCTGCGTGTGCCGCAATGCAAAGCATGCTGTTCGCTGGGAGTACAAGCGTCCAAACCGGACCCGTGAAGTGACCGGCTCTTGGTGCTACAGTTGTGTCCGTGCGTGCGCTCTTTTAAAGACGAGTCGCAGCTATCAGGCTTTGGATAGCCATTGCCTTTTAGGTTTTGTGCATCAGGTATCCCAAGTGGTGCGAACATCTCTTGGCGAATCTGATAAGTGTGGCTGCTCTCATTGCCTCAAAAGCCAATGAGAGATTTTAAGTATGGAGCAGGAGAGATCCAATAGGGGAATATTGGGGCATCCTTCGCAGCCTTGGGCCGAGGTGAAGGAAAAGGGACAAACTTCAGAGCGCAAATACCTTGTCTTCATGTGCTTTTCTTCGCATCGAATCTTTGGCAGAATCTTTTACATTGTCTCGAAGAGTCGCGTGCAGTCGTGCTTTGATTTGTTGCAAGTGCTGAGCCTGACTGCAGCGCACGGTTGGATGAACTGCATGCTGAGAGCACAGTACTGACAGAAGCCTTTTTTAGCCAAGACCGTGTTTGAGTTTCTTTCTGCCTTGCTCATGTAGTGGGCGTAGGGGCATTTGGCAGCAACCCATGGCCCCCAAGCGGCTGACTGAAGCTCAGATCGTTCGGCTGGCCGCGCCGAACCTCTATGAGCTGTGTGATGAATGGGGCGTCGACACCGACGGCAAGTTGCTCCTTGAGGTTCGGAGCGCGCTAGCCAGGAAGATGCACGACTCACAGTTTTCGAAGCCTGTAGCAAACGGTGCAGGCGCAACTTTGTTGTCCAGCTTTTGTCAATTTTGAAGCTTGAGCAGAGTGGGCCAAGTTTGACTGATTTCAGATCTCGTTCCCATCTCGTTTCCATCTCGTTTTGCATCTCGTTTTTTCCGAGTTTTGAAGTGCCAAAATTGGGAGGAGAAGCTGCGCCACCTGCACCAGCGGCGTTGCAAGCTTCAGCAGCTGCTCTGCTTGAGCCGCCGCTGCCGCCGCCGAACGAGGCACCTCCGCCTCCGCAGAGTTCCGCTAGTGCTTTGGCAGATGTGCCTGAGGCAGATCTACAAGGCCAGCTGCAGTTCTTGGCTGAAGTGGCTTCTTCTTCCCACAAGACTCTCCCAAGCTGCGTCCTTCAACTTGTTTCTAGCAGTCGCTTTCACCATGTTGTTTCGGTGCTTTTGCTTGGAGTGACACATTTTCAGTGATGCCAGCTGTCCCAGGTAGATTGCGCAACCGCCATTACTGGTTCCAACGCCTCAGCCCTGGCAAACTTCTGCCGCGCCTGCTTTGCTGCAGAGAAGGCTGTGAGTGGACTTGGGAAACCTGCTGCCAATGAGAATGGTTGCGCATTGTGCGGGGCTGCGGTGTCAGCGGACAACAAGTCTCCTGTGGTCAGGGTTTGCTTTTTCTGCTACGAGGATCAGTGCAAGATAGAGCTTGCCATGGAGGAGTCTCAGAAGCAGGCCAGATCCGACGAGAATGCCGCCGCGGCCATCGAGGAGTCTCAGAACTTTGACCGGACCGGCGAGGGCGCAGCCATTGTCAGTGCGCCGGCTGGAGGCAAGAAGAGGAAGCTGAGCGACATGGCCCTGCCGGAGCTGGGGTGGAAGCGAAGGGCGAGGGACTCAGAACTCTGTTGGTTTGCCCGCGTGCAGGCACACCGGCATGGGGCGGAAAAGAGGATGCAGAAGGACTACATGGCCCAGTGGCGAGCTTTCAGTGAAAAGCATAAGCAGCGCTTCAGGGACGAGATTGCAGGCTACATGGGGGAGTATGCTGCAAACACAGAGACGGAGGCAGACAAGCCGCCTCCGCATGCTCCGCGCTGGGCTGCGTTTGAGAATGGTGTTGCTTCCGTGGTGCTCCCAGTGGACTACACGCTTGATGATCTGCAGGCAGATTTTGCACAGTATGCGGAAAATCCTTCCGCACACGACCAAAAGAGGTGGGAATTCTACGCTTTGCTGCACCAGCTCTTGGCTCGTGAGTCTTGCCCTATCACAAGCCCAGCGAAGGCAGCTGAGCAGCTGACAAGCTTGCGTGTAAACAGGCCCTACTTGTACAAGCTGCGCAAGAGCTTCGGGGACGGGGCCCTTCCCTGGGATGTTCCCGCTCAATTCAAGATGGGCCGCACGCCTCAAGAATCCTTGGGGGAGCGTGAGAAGCAAGACCTTCTTTGCTATGTGAAGTGGCATCAAAGAACCGGTACCGCCCTCTCGATTGAGCAGCTGGAAACTGCGGCAGTTTTGATGAAGTTAGAAAAGCGCCTTATCAGCAGGATTCTAAATTGTGATTCTGTGTGTTATGTTTTTTTGAGTGGCTGGCTGCTTTCGCTAACCCCAGTTGAAATTAGCTCAGCGCCATAGGCTGGGTGAGATCGGCGCGGACGAGTGCGGGGATGACTTAGAAGCAAAGCTCGCTGAGCGCCGGCCTCGCTTTGCCCACTTCTGGCGCGATTTCAGAGCATGGGTCGAGGCCACGCAGCCCCGTGAAGACAGCCTGTCCTTGCAGAAGCTCAAGGCCAAGACTTTGCACCAGGCTGCCGTGATGGAGCCAAAGGTTATCGAGCAAGCCTTTGACACCCTTCAGAAGATGCTGACCCGCCTGGGGCTGATGTCTGCCAGCGGAGTGCTGCTCGCCTCAAGCTCTGGGCGTGTGATCATAGCTGACGAGAAGGGGTTCTCTTCTAGGAGCGACGTCCTCACTCAGATGCGCGGGATCATTACTCAAAGTGGTCGCTCGAAGGCTGCTACAGTGTCAGCAGTCACGAGCTTTGAGCACATTACGGTATGCTCGTGGCTGCCTATGCAAGGTCAGCCACTGCCGGTTGGAGTCATTGTCCCTCAGAAGCGCCTGCATGAATCCTTTTCGCGCATCTGGCCCGAGGCGGAGCTGTTTGCAAACCCTGGCGGCAGCCAAACTGCGGCTAGCTTTGTGCAGATGCTGGAAAGGTGCTGCCTGAAGCCTTTGAGAGAAAGATGGCCGGATAGAGAAGAGAAGTGCCTCTTAATCCTTGACACTGGCGGAGGTAGCATGATTCATGTGACTCCCTCGGTCATGGTGCTGCTTGACTCCATCGTTTTTACTGGGAACCAGCTCAAGGAACCCTCTTTGTGTTTAGTGCTGCTTTTACCTGTCCCAGCTTCAATGTTTTCAGCGCACGCAAGGTTACTGGAGCGGTATGGCGTGGAGCTCTTCGTCTTGCCCAGTTATTCTACAGCAGCTCTCTGCGCGCTTGACCAGCAGCCTCATAGCATCATGAGTGCGCGGTGGGCTGCTGTGAAGGCTCAGTTGTCTCGCCAAGGAAGGGACATTAATGTTTTCATGGCATTGAGCCTCATTCGCAGGATCGTCATGGAGGGTCTGTCTGAGCAAAACCAACGTGCTGGCTGGGCAAGGTGTGGCTTTGTGCCTGGCGAGCTGCTGCAGAGAAATGTGGTTCTAAAGGAGCGGTTTGAGGAGCTGTTTTCTTCAAAGCGTGCTGGCGCTGGCTTTGACGCAAAGCCGCAAACCAAGACTTCTGCGGTGCTGGGCTTGCTGGCGGCTGTGAGCCCAAAGAAGGTTCATTGCTCCAAAGCAGGCTGCTCCCAGAAGGTGTCTCTGGCAGATCGCTTCTGCGCGGCCTGCGGCGAGCCGAACACAGCTTTTTCAGAAGAGGCTGCTGAGCTAGTCCGATCTGGCCGAAGAAGTGGTTGGTACAAGCCGCCTGCTCCGTCCGCCGTTGTGCCAGAAAATGCAGCAGAAGAGAAGATGGAGCGCGGCATGGGGGACCTACTTTCCAAGCTGCGGAAGCGGGGCAGCCAAGCGCAGCCTGCAGAGTCTGACGCGTCTGCTCCTGCACCAGCAGCTCAAGGACCAGCTGCCAAAGCTCTTGCGACTCCTGCTTCTGTGCCAGCGACTGTGCCAGGAACCTCTGCAGCTTCGGGTGATCAGCCCATCGTGCGAACGGAGTGGGACCTTGACAATGAAGCAGACTGCATTGATTGGGTGCTGCAGTGCTTCAGCAGCGAGAAACGTGATGGCATGAAAGGGTTGGCCGAGTTTTTTGTCTCTTGGCTCAGAAGCAAGGCCAGCAAATCAGAGAAGCTCTCAGAAGTGTTTTACAAAAATGTGATTGGGCCTCAACTTCTCACAACTTCCAAGAAGAGAGAGGCTTGGGCTGCCGTTCAACGGTACAACCGCGGCCTGCGGTTTGTTTCCCACCCGTGGTGGTTCGGATGCTTCAACCCGCAAGCTTGCGCCTTTTCCGCCAGGAATGACGAAGCTGTTCTGGCGCTCGACACGGCTTCTCGGCAAGCTGGTGAAGTGGCAGGGACTGGTGTGAGCAACTGGGTGCGAAACTCCGGACATTGTCAACTTCCCCAAAAGAAAACCAACAGGTGATGGATGGTTGTTGCAGATTTTTGTCAGACCCCCCCTATTTAACAGAGAAGCCCTTCAATTGATTTAAGCTGGGAAAACTTTCTGTGCGAAGGGTGCGTCAAGAAACGGAGCTGCGAGTGGGCCTTGGTCCCCCTTGCATCTCCCCTGGTTTCCATGGCGTTTCCCCTGGATCGGGTTTTCCCCGAATTCCATGGGGCCCCCGACCCGGCCCAAGCCCACATCGCGCTGAGGAATTCCCCGGGTTCCTGCGTGAGGAGAAGCAGAGCGCCAAAGCTACTGCAAGGCCATGCTCTGTCGACCGTGTCCTCAAAATGTCTACGGGATCCCGCGACCATAACAACCACCAGTTTTAAGATTTCTAGGAACACTAGGAGCCAAGAATCACATCCAGTTTGTTCCTGTTTCTTGCTGAATCTACTCCACAACCCCGTTCTTGGCAAACCAAGTTGAGACCATACCCACATGTCCCCTCAAAGGGCGGATTGAAACGTCACCTTTTGGAAACGCCAAATCATTTTTGCCTAGTCCGGGTGGGTACTTTGGTGAGTGATGTTTCTAGGGAGAAACATATAGGGAGCCCAGTGTTGGCAACCTGCGGCCGCAAAGCTTCGGCTCAGCAAGCCCTTGATTCATAAACTCGGGGCATGGCGTTGCTGCAAATGCGTCACTCCGCCCATCATCGTCCGATGGAGTGCAGCGAGGTACGCAGCTCTTCGTCAGAACTGCGACAACCTGCGGCCCAGAGCTCAAGGAGTAGCCGTGCGTCATGCTGTGAAGATACTGCTACGCCTAAACCTGAATCGTAAACCCTAAACCGAAACCCTGAAACAGCCTGAACCCCGAACTAATATCTAAACGTATGTAACATTGTCAGCAGCTTTCGTGGGTTGCCGGCAATCCTGCTGGCCCAAGCATTGCCCCGTTTTCGTTCTGTTCACAGCACGCCAGCGTACCAGAGGAGGGTTTCGTTTAGCTGCAGGGTTGAGGTTTGAATATGTTTCAATTTAAGGCCAGGGCCTAGGCTTAATTTTCCACAACAAAACAATGTACGCACAATCAGTGAAGCGCGGTCAAGAGACGGTTGGCAGAGCCCGTCGAAGGTGGTGCTTTTCCGTTTCAATGACGCTTTCCCCTTTGTGTTTGGATAGTTCCTACCTGCTTGACTCAAGCACTAGCTGGGTTGAAGTTGGACAGACCACTGTCTGTCGTTGTGGGTAAACAAGCGAGCTTGGTATCAGCGTCGTCATTGCTGGTGCGTACTTGTTGGCAGCATACGGGTGAGCAGACAACGAACACTTCAATGAGCATGAGCGACCTGTTTGTCTGAGATCAAAAGGTAGACTTGAGCTGAAAGTGTCTGAGTCACCCAGTGGTCCTTGTCAAACCTTTGTTTTGTTTGAGTGGTTGCCTAACTCAGCAAACACAAGGGGTGTCTTGCTTTCCCAATGGACACTGAGGTACCGTAAGGCCCAAGGCAAAATGTTCATTGTTGAGTATGTTTACTTTTGGCTTATTTTTGCAACATCAAGCCTTATCCTTGAACCGGAATCAAAACCAAGGTGTCTTCTCCTGAGGTTGTCAAAATGAGGGGACCCCAAAACAGAACTCCCCGCGGCCTCGGCCGTTGGAAACCCGAGGCCGATTCAGCTCGGCATCTCGGTAGCCCAGCCAGATGGCACCCTGCGCGGGACCGGTGCCCGGAGCAGTCGGACATTGGACAGGAAAATTGTGTGTTCTTTGGAGGGTACCCGTTTTCCGGTTTTTGGGGCTCTCCAACGCAAAAGGGAAACCAAGAGACACCAAGCCAAAACGGTTGAGGTTGCCCTTTTTGGGGTGCCTGTCGAGTAGAGATCCCCTCCTTGATCGATTTTGTACTTTTTTGGGGGGAGAAAGTGGGTCTGTGTTCCTGTCTTCCTTCCAGCCTATGTTTTTTTGGTAGACACCTGGCTTCCTGGTGGGACCCAGGACTCAAGACTGTGAACATCTTTGGTTGCAGTTTACCTATTGCATCAAACACCCCGAATGTGTGCGTGCCCAGTGCCGTGGGATTCCAAGAATCCAGAAGTGTAAGCCATGTGATCAATGCGCGAGCGCTTGGCCATGTGACTGGCCGAGGTCCTTGGCTTTCAATGTTCATTGCGTCAGGCAGCACGTTATTGAGCTTAGACAGAAGATATGGGTCAAAATTAAACCACCAGACCGCAGTTTTTAGTCCATGCCACTTACAGGGTTCAATTTTGGGTACCTATTTTTGACCCACAGCCATATGTGCCTGGGGCGAACCTGTACCAAGACCCCGCTGATGGAAGTTCGTTCGTATTTGGAGGATGCCCTAAAGGATGGTGTTAGGTATGGTAGGACACAAGACAAAACCGATGTATTGCATTGGCTACAGCCATTTGCCCGGGCCAAGTTGAGACGGGTGCCGATGCCTGCGTTGCCAGACTGGGAACCTGAGCTTCCCTGACTGCGCACCTGTGATCCATGGCTCACCTGTCTGAGTTTTCTTGCGCTGCAGGAACAGGATCACTCGTTGCCATGTTGCTTTTGCCTGCTTGGGATATTCCGCCGCCAGCCCTAGTTTGCAAGAGCATCAACAGATCCTTATCCTGGTGCCGCGCGAGGTCCGACTAAAAGCAAGCTTGTCCAGTCTTCGCAAGTTGGCAAGTTCAAGCTTCTCATCTTCAAGTCTCCGTTTGCTATTGCACATGCAGCTTTCGGCCCCGCTCTCTTTTGTTCATCGCCTCTCAGGTTCTTTTCAGATTTGCTCCTTTGCACTTGCACCCGGATCCGTGGTGTGCGGTCCCTCAGTACGATTTCAACGCTGATTCACACCACAGACCAACCCTACCATCTAGAATTACGTCAAGTGAGGCAATCCCTAGCTCCTACTGTAGTTGATACAAAGAAAATGTATCAGTCACGGGAGGTTTGGTATTGTTCCATTCTCCCATGGTAAAAAATACTCGAGGGCCACGCCTCATGACTAGTCGTGGGCTTCAGGACCTGGTGCTTCAACCTGCTCTTCGATGCACTGCACTCAGGTATGCGATCACTCCACCGCAGGTTTATGTGAACTCATCATGTGAACGCAGCAAGATTGGTTCCGTTTTTGGCCAGGCTAGCAAACGCAGAACGTTAGCAATGAGCTGTGCTTCCCATAGGGTGTGTGTGTGTGGCTTGTTGACCACTATTGAAGGCACGGATATTGCCTTTCCCTTGTTCAACTCCGGTCAGTGTTAAGGTGTTATTCTCGGCTGCCATGTCGGTAGACGGCCACACCTTGTTCAGCATCGCTGACGGTAAGGTCAGCTCTACTAACTGAGGGCAAGCAGTTGACTCATGTGGACACAACAGCACGAACTACCCGCATCCCAGGTGTACACTGATCTCTACACAGAGGCCTGCAGATGTTTGTCACGCAGAGTTGGGCCATGGAATCCTGGCTATGAGGATCTGATAGTTGGTATCCTTTTGGATCTTCCCAAATTGGAGCTGCCGTGGATTGTGTTCGATGGATTTCAGTATGTGTGCGATGTGTGTGTGTGGGCAGTTTTATTGTTGGAGAACCATCGCATGTAAGTTATCAGGCTTGTGTGTGCAATATCAACATACTAGCTTGCCCATATTTGCAGGGGCATCAGTACTTGGATCAGAGGGATCTGCAACTAAGTACGAAGCAACACTGTCTTTGCTTCAGAAAGATACCAGGGCACGGGAAGCATCCCTGAACCCTTTGTAGCAGGCCTCGGAAAAACGTGTTTGAAGTGAAACCCATGAAGCAAATGAGAGAGCTTGCCCTGGCCCAAGCATGTTTCACGCTTCGCGTGGGGCATCCGGCAGTGGCTCTAGAAACTACTTTAGCTGTTGCAAGACACCAGGATGATGCCACCGGTTTGCAGCTTTAACGATCCACACTTCCTTCGAATGCCTTCACGCTGATGTTCATGGTCTGAAATACCGCTTCTTTCACGGTCCCCTTCTTTTCCGTAACGCATGCCGTGACTCACCAAATGGCACCGTTTTCTTCATCCTGCCGATGCTTGTCTTCTGCAAACCTACGGTTCTCCACTTTGTGTCCCTCTTTTTGCGTGTTTGCCACTTCTTGGCTTCCTGTGATTCCTGATTGTGCAGATGAGGGGTCTCGTTTGGGACCTCCTTTGCATCAAACCGGGTCCATTACCCAGATATGAAAGAGAAACAAGGAGAGCCGCGAACCCAAAAACCAAGCAACTGTAAATCACAAGCTTGACCAAACGCATGTGGTGGAAGCTGCATGTGTATACTCTAATTATCCAAAGCAAGCAAGGAGCCTGAGCGCTGGTGTGTATAGTAGCAAAGTTGTGGCACAGGGAAGGAGCAAGAATGAGTATGTGCCAACGCTAATTCCCACGAGGGTGCCGGAGGCGTGTGCCGGTGGCATGGGTCCACCGAGGCATAGCGATAAGGTACTTCGTGCGAGCGCCGGTGGGGTTTGGTCCGGAGACACTGCCGAGAATGGGCGGGGCCGTCCGTGTGCCAGTGCAAATTAGGTCCGGGACCGATGGTTCACGAGGTCATATCGTTCGTGCGCTGGTGGAAGTTGGCCGGAGACAGCCATCCGCACGCCGGTGGGATTTACCCTAGCGGAGGCCACAAAGGCGCGTCCGACGGACTAGGCCGTGTGCCGGTGGAATTTGAGAAGACCTTGAGGACACTCCTTGCGATGAGCCCTGACGCAAGCAGTGACCTCAGCATCCGCTACGCTGGTTGGAATTGGCCTGGAGACAATGCCGAGAGTTTGGGAGGGAACCGGGGCTGACGCAAGCAGGCCCGGCTTTACCTTGCCGTAAGGTGCCCACAGATGTGTATATCCGTCTTTGCAAAATAGGACGATAAATCAAGCACCCTTTCAGAAACAGGCCTCCTTAAAAGATACACTTTGCCCATTTCAAGCATGGCCTTTTTCCAGCGAAATAAAGGGAAACCACCATGTACAAGGCAATGTTCAGGTGTATAATGTAATGATCCCTGTTTCAGTTGGTTTTGAAGCGGAAACAAAGGGAAACCGCTGGTTTGGAGTTGTGGCTTGCAGCTTAGCGGGTTCCACGAGAACCAGAGGAACGCAGGCGTCTGGCCAAAACCCATGCTGATCAGGTAACCTCCAGGTGGTTTGGATTGGTTTGGGTTTGGATTTGAGACCCTCGTATGGGACACCACCCAGCCTCCACATCAAACCACCAGCGTCCAAACCAAGCCAAACCAATCCACTTCAAACCACTCCAATCCAAACCGAACCAAATCAAGCCATTGCCAATCCAAAAGAATCCAAACCAAACCAATTGAGCCACAATCAAAACCCGGGTAGATGAAGGTTAGTAAGGGAAACTCCCAACCTGCGGCCGCCTTCTTAATTATTTTCACGGTTCTGGGCAGACCATTCTAAGATCGGGTTTTGAGTATGACTCAATGGGGGCAACGGCGAATCCGTGGCCACGGGTTTTTTGCCACAGGCCTCCATGGCCTTCCTCGAAGCCGCGGGCCTGGACTTCCAGCGCATGGCACGGGAGGGCATCGACCCCGCAGGGGAGCCCAGCGGTGGGGCGGCCGCTTCGACTGGGACGGGAAAACGCGGCGGGGTCCTTAAGCCATCCCATTTTTGGTGGCTGCCAATGGGAAACAGCCAGGAAGGAGCAAGAGGAAGAAGAAAACAGCAAGGAAGGAGCAAGAGGAAGAGAAACTTTGTTCAATCGCTCGTGTTCCATAGCCGTTCCTTCG